AGGTTTTGGGTAGGGTGAGTTCCAGGAACTTTGGACGTCCGTTGGTGGTCGTTGTCTTGAACCTCCGTTTGAGCGCCCTCGACCACGTCCCCGATTGCCGTTTCCACGCCTTTGTCCGCGTCCATAGCCTCCACGCTGTCCGGAGGAGGAGCCATCGCCATAATTGACGCCAAAAAACCGATCCCCACTGCCGCCGTGAGGAGGGCCGCGGCTGTCATTGCCGCCGTGCTGGTTGCCGATGCCGGCATCCCGACCTGCCAGCAGCGCCGTGCTGCTGGTTCCGCCCAGTGGAGTCCTCTGCCGATCGAGAAGGAGAAGGGCCGACCGTACTTGGAGAAAACTCGGTAGAGGATCCCTAAATTGGAGAAACGGAGTTTGGGCTTGTAAATCGTCAGGGAGGCCGCGCAGCATCTAGAGTATTAGTTGGTGCTCAGACACGGGGGCATCAACGTCATCTAACCAATCTGCAATATTCCTGAGCTCTTGACAATATGCAGCCATGGGGGTAGATCCTTTGACGGTGGTGCGAAATTGATGCTCGAGTTGCATGGCTCGAGCATGCTTATTGTCGTGAAACAACTCATGAATCATCGTCCAGAGGGCAGATGCAGTAGTGACAGAAGAGAGAACGAGATCAGACACCTCATCTGTGATGGTGGAGAGAATCCATCCCTGGAGGATAACATCAAGTTGAAACCATTCGTCGTCGTCGTCGGAGATGGGAGCAATAGAGCCTTTGAGATAGCCATGGAGATTGAACTGCCGTGCAAGAAGGAGGAACAAGCGGCTCCACTTTTTATAGTTTGGTTGAGAAAAACTGAGTTGAATTGGAACATGAAGTTTGACATTTGAGACGGAGAAAGCAAGATGGGGAGGGTTTGGGCTGGAGGATTGAGATGTGACCTCACTGTCCGTCATGGTAGAGGAGGAGCTTCCGGCCAAGGGAAGAGGGAGGGGGTGCGGCGGCGCTGCTGTTCGGCGAAGGAAGGAGGAGGCCGAAACAAAGGGGGGAGATTTTTTAGGGTTTTTAGTGTGGCTCCGATACCATGAAGAATTGTATTTTCATTGATTAATTATGTGAGGAGTACATGTATATATATACAACATCTCAATTCTAGTTATGGTAGGAGAGGTATTCTAGGAAAGCTATACAAGTATGGAAACAAATCATAATACAATAATATTAAATATATTTAATATATTTAACATTTGCTTCAATAATATAGTCATTACTTTTGTACTATTTCTTGATGAGGTTTTTGAATACGAAATTTATGTATTTTAATTTTACATCTCTTTGGAAATAAATGAGCCGTATTATGAAAACCAAAAATCGAAGGAGTAATTTATTAAATGTTTTTGAGTCTGTCTTCATCGGAAAATAGGCTTCCTTTTTTTAATTTCCAATATTATGCTTCAAAATGTAATTGTTAATTTGATTTTAATAAATATATCCTGGAAAAGAATAAAATGATTCGTAATTGTAGGACTTAATTAGTGAGGAATAAAATTTAAATTACATTTTATAGTCCAATAAATGAATTTTACTAAATAAATTAAATCCGTCGTATCTTCCATTCCAATACCCATTATTATTCCCTTGGAGTGATGATGGGTATGGAGGAGACATACCATTTGAAATTTTAGACTCTAATGAAACGCGGAGAAGGCAAAGCATTAGTATTCTAGAGTTCTTGGCATACAAGCTTCATGAAAGGAGAGAATATAACTCATTCATTTTAAGATCACGAAAATTATTCCAAGTGCTTTGTGTTGATGGGTACACAATAATCGAATCATCAAGATTTTGTTATATTAGAACACAAAAAACAATATTGTAATGATGGTGATTTTAGAAGAATGCACATTCTAAAAACATGAACAATGGCTGGAATTCAATGGCCCCGTTTAGCTTCAGCGTTAGAGATTAGCGTTAGCATTTTGAAAAAGTTATCTGACGATAGCATTTAGCGTTTTCAAAATCAATGTGCACCATTAAAATTTTATCCAAAACGTTAAAACAAATATTGTAACTAAAGAAAGCCAATATTGGGTTGCGCCCGTGAGGAGTAATAAATTGATTTGAATTAGAAGAGGATTGAATGGGATGGAAGAAGATGATGTGCAATTAAACCCAAATCCTTCTTCATTAATGGAGATCAGAATTGCGTGCTTAGGGGTTATATACTACGGAGTATAAATACATACACGAGCTGCCCGTTGCTTCGTCAGCGCCGCCGTCGATGGATACCCCAGCCGTCGTTGTGATTACGTTCGTCCTGTCCCTGACTATCACTCGCTCCCCTTTCGTCGCCGGAGAAATCAAGCACACTGAGATCCGGGCAGATGGCAGGTCGGTGATTAGTCTAAACGAGTTTTTCTTCACCAGGGGCGGCGGGCAATTGGAGCTCAACATCACCAGCCTCTCCTTCCTCCCTGCGCCGCCGCCCGACCCGGCCTCCCTCTCCAAAATCGGCTTCGTCCTCTTGCCGCCCCTCACATGGGCAAAACTGTTCAACCCCCTCACCTGCGCCTTCGATTACCCCGACGCCCACAAGGTGCTAACCATGGATCAGATCCCCACAGCCGCCTCTGCCGAATGGAATCTTCTTCTCCCCTCTCCCCCACCCAACTACCGCGAATTGGTGTTTGCAAATTGTCTCTCTTTCGAATTGAAGGTCTTCCTGAATGTCCGCTCTGCAATGTACAACCAAGTGGAGAGCAGAGCTGGAAAGCCTCCCACAATTAGTCATCTCATGGGTGGCCCAGCAGTACCCAAGATTCATTTCCAGTTCTCCAATGTTTACGTTGCTTTGGGGGTCATTTGGATTGGGCATGTACTGCTTAACAAGAATAGGCAGCATAATGTTGGATGGATCCATTACCACATGCTGGCTACCTTGCTGTTGAAGGCCTTGAACCTGTTCTGCGAAGCTAAACAGAAGTTTTATATTGAGCGAACCGGATCGGCTACAAGGTGGTTGGATTTCTGGTCCTGGACATCAAGTATCTTCGAGACGTATTCTTTTCGCACTGCAATGTATTTAATTGGATCACTTGGATGCACTCAATCGCAGTTAAGACTAGATGAATTTGAAAAGTTTGTCCTTTTCCCGCTTTTGGGTGTCTCACCATACCCTTGGTTCTTAGTGTTTGCACTGCAGTCTTCTTTGTCTGCCAAGAAGAAACTGCTGGTGGACCGAGCTAATCATAAGAGGGCTACCATTGTTCTGAAGAAGTATGAGGCTATCAGCCATTACATCAAACAGACGGAATGGTACATTTTCATTGGTCTTCACTTGGAGTTCTTATTCACCCTTTCGAAACATTCATTTCCAACCCATTTGGCTCTTGTGGCTTGGGAGCTTAGAACACTTGCGCTCTATGCATACACAGGGTACATGTTGGCTCCCAAGGAAGACAATCCTGATCATCAAAACCTTGTGATTAACGATGATGAGGAGAAGGCTGCAATTAGAAGGCTGAATGCCATAGATAAGGAGGAGTATGATCGTAGATACGGAGTACATTTCTAATAGTATTCTATAAAGTTATTGCAATTACAGATGTGTTGCAATTTGATATTTTATATAAAAAATGAAACTAAAGATGGAAAAATAAGTTAAGTTGGAGTAGATATTAAAGTTGTCATGATAGATCATCGATATATGGTGGTGTCAATAAAATCTCATACACTCGTGTACATAAGAATATAATATTCCTATATAGGAAAACTTCTTAAATTACTCCTAGGTCACTTACGTAAACCCTCGTTATTGAATTTTGGTTAGGTGAACTCATTTTAATATCCTCTATAACTCTTACTCTCTCCATCACAATAGATTGTCGTAGTTTGACTTTTTGAGTCAAACTATAACATACTTTGACCACAAATTCAAGAACCAACTATGACAAACCCCAAGCTTTTCAGGCTAAGAACTGATGTAAGAAATTCTAAACTTTGGCTTTAGATTCGTGTGTTACATTGTCAATATATTTGTTCTTTTTTGATAAGTTACCACGAGTATATTATGAATGTGCCAGATATTTTTTGTACTTTAGGTTCTGTTTGGGAAGACTGCATTGGTATATCTGTAATGGAGGTTTGAATTGTGTTATTGATGAATCTTGGATTTTATTATGTTATTGATGAATAATGTGTCTTCAAACCTTCATTTTCAAGTTGTTATTTTTTTAGTGTTGTTTTTCTCCATCGATGGATGACCAAAAGACAAAGAGATGAACTTGATGGACTGTGAAGCTGCAGTTTCCTCCTATGTTGGCGGTTCATAGAGCCTCAAATATGGTTGATAGAGAAGGTATCGTGACCCACCGGAATGTGATTTTCGATACATAAGTTACCTGCACATACATCGTAATGCTTCCTCTGATTCTTTTAAAATGGGTTTATGCGAGCACTTCCCCAAGTCTGATTCTTTACACTAATATTATATAAAGGATTTGTAATTTTATAAAGTTTAATAAAGAAATTAAGAGTTATAGTTTGTTTTAAAAAGTGGTAATTTATATACGCTCAATTTTCTCTCTTTTGAAATTTTAAAAGATTATTACATTTAAGGCATCTGCTGGAGTTTATTTAGTTTCTACTCTTTTTTTATTTAAAGTTTATTCTTGGGTGAAGCTTATTGTTTATTTAGTTTCTACTCGATGTTTCATATCTAATTGCACCTTTTCTCTCTAGCTATACAAAGATATAAGAGCTACTATAAGGTTAGTGCAGTTGAACATTTGAGTAGAGTTTTTAAAATCTTGTGTTTTCTTGACCCGAGTTTCTAAATGGTCTTTACTGATTATGAACATTTCTTTGGTGTTCTGAATCTAATAGCTCCAAAGCAAGCTATTGATGAGAATGTTAAACCGTCTGAGATTGAAGAGGTTGAACCATCTAGGACAACTCTTGGACGACATTATCTCCAAGACATCAGGTAGCAACTTATATCCACTTTATTCTTCTGTTTGCTGTTTTCATATATTTGGTTTGAGTTTGCATTTTTTTACTTTTAGTAAATAGTAATTAAGGTTAAAGACATGATTTTTTAATAGGCCCCATATGGTGATTTTATTTAATTCATCCTACTTTTTTTTTTACCAAAACAAATTTGGAAAAAAGATAATTATTTATGGTTAACGAGAAATACAAAAAGTGACAATGAAATTGTAAGTGATGAAACAGCCCAAGAGTTCTATTCAGTTTATTCATATCAGAACTACATGGTGGCTACAGATTGAGGTACCCCCCACCCCCCAAAAAAGAACAGAGCTTTTTATATTCTTGTTTCATCATAATTGGTTTTCTGCATCTGTATATCGGTACATGTATGGGTTTTGTTATTTCTCAGTCTACACGGTGGCTATATTTGGACTTACTTGACCGTATATAATACCGGAAGAATGTGGTTTAACTCTGCTCCAATTTTCAGGCTGCAGAAGGTGCAAGAACTGCTTCTAATTTAAATACTAGTCAGTACTGGGTTTAGTTGTCTGGTGTGATATTCTTTGCATCTGTTTTCAGTGTTTAATAAGGGAAGAAAGGAGTACCAAAAAAACAAAATAAAATAAGGGAACACTCTCAATGCAATATCATTAAAGCTGAAATAAGCTAGAGAAAATCAAACTAGTTTTTCTCCTTTTTTTTGTTGGTTTATAATATTCAGGTTATTGAAATACTAATAGAGTACTGCATATAACATCTAATTAAGAGTATGTAATATACAAATAAGCTTTTGCATAAAAAGATTCAGAGTATAGTAGGTAATTAATGTTTAGCAGCTAGTTTAGTTAGTTCAACCACCATCCATTAACTATAGGTATAGGGCTTGCATTGGATCTTCACGAAACAGGGGATTCTCCGGGAAAGGTTTCTGGAGGATTGCGGCGAGTTGGGGGTCCATCTTCTCAGCGGTGGCAACGGCGGCAGTTGAAGCCGCTAGGTTTGGGACAGCACCCCTTTCTGGGAAAGGTTTCTTGAGGATCGCGGCGAGCTGGGGGTCCATCTTCGGGGCGGCAGCAGCTGCTTGGTTTGCGGCTAGTGCGGCGGCTGCCAACCTTTTCTTCACATCTTTATACCCAGCCGCTAGCAGTTTTAGACCGAGTGCAATGCCTTGCACAGCAATGGTTTTTGTGGTCTGGCGTTCCATGGGTAGGAGCACCGTGGCACAAAAGGAGGCAGCAATGACCAACACATCTCCAAAGATCATGAGGTTCAGGGAGTAGAGATACAAGAGCACAGTGGCGGCACACAGGCAAGCCAGAGCCGCCGAGTGTTCTGAATGCCCTTTGAAATATTGGTCCACAAAGGGAGAAGCAACGGCCGCTGCGAATGTCACAAGATAGCTGAAATACACCAACTGCCTCTTGATTCTTTTTGGAGCCCTTCGCTTCCCATAGCGCCTCTCACAATATTCGGTGTACGCACGCCAAGCCGGACGTAAAACACACCAAAGGATTCCACGGTATGGGACAACTAAAGACACATTCAGGTCTCTAACAACCCATTGGATGACCACAGCAGCTACTATTATAGCACCCTCAGCGAGCTCTATCTTCCATTTCTCAAGGAATGAGAAAACGGGCGCCATGAATCTGCACGCACCAACATACACAAAAAGACTACTTAAATCTCTAAGAAATGAATTATCTAACCACGGCGTTGAGTTTCGAAGTCCTAGCTCATGTGACCTCTTGGTCATCAAGAAGGCTCCAAGTTCATGTGAATGAACCAATTCAACCAAAAGTTCAAACTTGTAGTTGTGGTCCAACACTATATATGACTGCACTTCACACATTGATTATTTTTTAAAACTTGATGGATCATAAACTCAAGGTTAACCAGGGTCAACACATAATGGCCAACGGTCAGTTCAGGGTATATTAGCCTAGTCTCAAGTTGATCAAGTCGATCAACCCGTTTTTCATTATCCTAAGGAGTAGAGGCCAGGGCCCAATCCTATGACTCGAAGCCCCAGCCGAATGCCACCACGCCAAGCTAAGAGGGAGATGTGCTAAACAGGAGGGGTACTTGACCCGCACGAACACACAATTAATTTCACTTAATTACATTCCATTTCAGCTATAATTAAATATACAAATGGTTCACTTCCCTCTGTAAGGGAGATATACCCTACGGAAAAGAGGAGCATGAGTTCATCGTGTGGGCTATGCGTGAACAGAAAGCCCAAAAAGAGCCCACGTTCACTTTGCTAAAGAAAATTTTCCAGGTTTATACTTTTTATGGGACAAAGTCATTTTAATCCAAAAAGTAGTTTGGGCCTTCTTGCCACCGCAAAAACTTATACTCCTGTAATTGGCATTTACAAAGACAAATATCTCATTTTTTGAAATTATTTTATTTACAAATCGATATATCGATACGAAATAGAAATTACGTATTAAAAAAATACCTCAAAAGTTTTACCAAAAAAAATGTGACAATAATATTTTATTTTATCAAATACTTAATGAAATTGTGTAAATCAACAAAAATATCTAGAGGAGAGAGAAAAAAATTGTAATCAAAATTGGGGAGGGGAGTAAAAAATTTTCCCCAAAAACTAACTTAGCTAAAATTCTCGAGGATTACACAAATAATTATCAATGCTGTAACTTAAATATTTTAAATTTACACCCTCAAAAGAAAATAAATCAGGAGTAATTAAAATGCACCCGCAGTTTAATATTGTACCCTTCAAAGTTTAATATAAATTTAAGGAAATTTGTATAATAAATATTTGCTACTTACTCTTTGTTTTTTTGATATTTTAATTTTTTTAAGGAAAAAATCAATTTGACTTTAAATCAATTTCACCCGATTGTATTTAATTTCATCCTTTCTTAACCCAATTTCATTCAATTGCACTTAAATCCATAATTTATTTTAGAAGATAAAAAAAGATGAATATTATGTTTGTTTCAAAAAAATTGAGAGAAAAAAGAAAAGAAAAAAGAAGGAGAACATATTTTTTGTTTGACTACAAGGAAGAAAAGAAAAGTAAAAGGAAAAGTAAATGAAAAGATGAAATATATTAAGAAGAAATAAAATCAAATTTTTCTCATTTTGGTGAGAGTAGAGATTCACAATTTACAAATGTGAAATGTGGCTTAATGAATGAAGAAATGGAGTTGAAAACTTTAAATCAATGAAATTACCTTTGGATCCTTTGATTTGTGGCCATTTTTCCCTATTATTTCTTCTTCTTCTTCTTCACTCCTTCCCTCTCCTGCTTCTCTTTTCTCTATATTCCTTGTTATATAGAACCCAATTGTACCAGGCCCTTCCATCGCTCTCATCATCCCATAGATTTTACCATTAATGGTAATTCGTGAGGAGCACGCCTATAATATCTGATCAGGGGGGGGGGAGTCTGGGTCATGGTCATGGGTCCCAACTCAACTCACATGCATCTGTCGAAACATCAAGAAAATCAACGATGGCGACCGCTGCCGGAAAAGTTACACTCCGCCGATTCACCACCGCGCCGGCCATATCCGGGGGGAGTATAAATAAAAGGAGCATGAGTTTATCGTGTGGGTGACAAGAAAGCCCAAAAAGAGCACTTTGCTAAAGAAGATTTTCGAGGTTTATGGGACTATGCCATTTTATTGCAAAAAGTAGTTTGGCCTTTCTTGTCCCCGCATAAACTTGGTCAAACCTTTTCCGCAAAAACTAACTTAGCGAAAATTCTCGAGGTTTACACAAATAGTGATTATCAATGCAATAACTTAAATGATTAAATTTAGGGGCAGTTCCCATGACATTACCCGACAATGTCATGTGATGATTTAAGGATACTCTGATGCTTCGCTCGTAAAATTGACAATTTTACCCCCCTAACTTTCCGGTAAACCTCCACACGCCCAGACTCGAACATATCTCCCATCACCTTCAATTGCACCCCCAAATTAATTTTTGATTTTGGAGTCAAAATTAACTTGGGTGCAATTGAAGGTGGTGAGGGGATGTGTTCGGGCTGGGGTTGGGTGAGGGTTTACCAGGGGTTAGGAGAGGTAGGAAGAATCGACAATTTTACGAATGGAACATCCAAGCGCTCCCGGGTCTTCCAATAACATAGGATTCCAATGTCATTGGAATCCCTCCGTTAAATTTACACCCTCAAAAGATACTCCCCTGTTCTTAAAAAGAGTGTTTCTGTTTTGACTTTTGCTAGATTTATTTTTGTAATTTGATTTTCCAATTAAATTATTAGTGTCAAAAATATAAGAGTGACAAATTAATTAAATCACTTTTTATATCAATACAAAATAAATGGAGTATATTGGAATAACTTTATTTTGATATATTAAGCATTTTAAAAAAAATGAAGTGTTTTGGTAAAAGCGAAAAAAATAAAAGAGAAAAAATTTTAGACAACGGAGAAAGTAATAAATACGGAGTAATTAAAATGCACCCGCAGTGATTAAAATTGTTAAATTGTACCCTTCCAAGTTTAATATTGTTTCATTTACATCATGTTTCTATTTTCAACTTGATAATAAATTTAAGGAAATTTGTATAATAAATATTTGCTACTTACTCTCTGTTTTTTTTGTTTTTTAATGTTTTAATTTTTTTAAGGAAAAAATCAATTTGACTTTATTTCTTTTTTTAATTTTAGATTCAGCCAAAATTATATGTTTTAAAATCTTAAAATTGAATATACATTTAAATTATGTTTATCTAGTTCACAATAAAACTTAATTACAAAAATTAAACTATGCATCTCCTTCGTAATTTCAAATTCAAAACCTGAAATACAATAATTTAAACAAAATTTAATTTAAATAAATTTGATGAAAGGTGTAAATAAAAATATACTCCCTCCGTTTCTTAAAACCTTTCCTCTTTCATTTTTTTTGTTTTTCTTAAAACACTTCTCCTTTCTATTAAAAAACCACTTTTACCCCTACTTTTTCATAGTCTACCTATCACATCATACTTTTTCACTAACAACTAAACTATCACATCTGAATTTTACCCATCACATCAAAGGCAATATTGGAAAGTCAATTATAATTTAACAGTTCCTTATTTTCCCCCAAAGTCAAAAGAGGAACTCTTTTGAGAAACGAAGGTAGTACTAAATATTCGAGAGTGCAATTAGATACTTTCAATAATAGAGGGTTCATTTTGAATATTTATTGCCTTTTGAGGATGCAAAATGTAAGGACCGTGCGTCACTTACATCAAAAATTGTACCCCAAATTTACATCAAAGGTATATATCAACATGTTGATGATTCACACTAACAAAAAATGTTGGTGCGTTAATAAAAATTTATACTGACACAAAGTGTTGGTGCGTTAACAAAATTTAGCATTACATTAATACAAAATATTGGTGCACATCTGCAGTGTACAAATAAGGTACAAACCCTCGGGTACAAATAGCATTATCCAAAATGTAATTGACCTGTTTTTTATAGGTAAAACACCAAAACCGATGGATAAGACAGAGAGAATGTTGCCCAATTTATTTGAGAAATGCTTGAAAATCACAAAGTGGTCATAAATATCACAAACTTATTATTTATAAATTAAATCTTAAGAATAAAATGATATAAGATAATATAAATAGTAAAAATTTAATACAAAAATGGTAAGTTTGTGATACTTGTGACAACTTTATTTGTGATTCTAGCATTGCTCAATTTATTTTAGGAGACTAACATCTTCCTAGTTACAAATACGTTAGAAAAATTATCTCGTCCAAGTTTTTACGCGCGAATAGTTAAAAAGTCCGCACCCTGCCCCACTCAATTGTAACACATTTCTCAACCGAAGTATGTAATTTGGATAAAAAAATATAATTCTTTTATCCCGCATTGTCACATTAATTTTATTTTAAATATAATTTATTAATTTATATCACTGAAACAATACTTGGAAAATAGATATAGATAAACCCGCACGAACACAAATTAATACAAAAGAATTGACAACTAAATCCGAATAAATGAACATAATTAACTAGAGCTGAAACATAATAAGGTAGAAATCATAGTTAACATCCCCTCCGGGGTATTCATTTGTGGGTAAGAATATATACAATTAGTTACTAATAAAGTTTAAAGCTGCACGTGGTTCAGGTTCAGAACCTGGCGTTCCCCGAGATAACAAGTAATGGCAAGCAGGATCAATGCAACAATTAAGAGGGCGTCCTGTTTGGAGTAGGCTCTCTTGGTTTGTATATAAAGTGGAGCTATGAGTTTCAAACAAAGCACAACCAATTCCACTTTGATAGCTATTGACAATCGTGGATCTTTAGTTGGCAGGAGCAATCCCATAGGGTGGATCGACGCCAAGAAGTTCGGCCACCCATGGGGAAGCCAGAGCTGCTGCCAGTGCTATAAAACAGGCACAATACTTCAACTTTGCTTTTATCCTAGCAACTACCCTGGCCTCTGTTTCGGCGACCACTTCTTCTCGCGTCATTCTTGCTTCTAAATCAGGGGTTGCTGCAGCGACCAATGCGTGCCTTATCTCTACATCTCTACCAAGAGACACCATCATATTCAAGGAAAATACAAAACATTCTACTGTGAGTGCTTTTGTGGTCGGAGTCAGGGACGGTAGGAGCAGTCCGGCATAGAAAGAGACACCGATGACCAGGGCACCTCCCGTGGAGATGCGAAAAGCATATTTACCAAACCAGAAAAGCATCGGAAAGGCAGGAAGTATCGATGTGTGTGAATAAGCTCTTCCACCAAAGGACAACACATAGCTGCTGCGGAAGTCATACAATGATAAAGATACTCCAAACTGTTCCTAAGCTCCCCATCCATGTTGGAGCGTGTGGTGTAACGAATAATCAACTTAACCCACAAATGCTCATCAGAATCACCTACCGGTATGTGGTTC